GTGTTATTCATAACAATGACAAATCGATGAAGTAAACAAGAAATAAAAATTATAAGATATTAAAAGATGATATGTAGCTGACACTTTTAAAATTCTCCTAACTTTGACAGCATATTGTATGCTGTGAAATTGTGCACATTGCCCTGAGTAAGTTTCCTGGTGGAACTAAAAAGAATTGCTTTGTAAATGTTTTAGTCAAAACAATAAAATGCTTTCATTATTATGAAACTGTAAATATTTAAAAAGACAAACTCCATTACATGTGTCAGAAATATGATAATTTTGTTGAAAAAAGATATGTAAGATTTTTACAGTTATATTATTAATTGAAAATTACTGGCAGATCATTGGCAATATGTCTTATAAGTAGTTACTACAATTATAACTAACCAAATGACACAGAAATGTAAGACTTAATTATAACTATGATTGTTTCTCAATTAGAAGATTTTCCTTATACAAAACAGAAGTCCTCTCGTGTTTATTTTATACAAACACACACATATAGGCTTCGATGTTCACCAGTTTCTCTCATTACAAACTATAAACTTATTTTAGTGAAATTATTGTGGGATATGTAATACATGCTTCTTTTCAGTGGATGTAACAGTCACCATCTGTCCAAGTATTCGGAATCTTAACCATTTAAGCAATCCCAAACACATCAGCCTTAAACTAGATCTGTACATATTAACCTTAAATTTACTGTTTCCACAACATTTGAAAAGATCTGATTCCAAAAGCCAACTACCCTTTTAGAAAAAAAAAACTTTTAACTGAACACGACTCCAACCTGCCAAAATTTATACTTCTGTCCCCTAGTCTTACTATTCTCACCATTAAATATGAAAAAAGATGATGCATCAACACTATCAATTCCTTTTACAATATTAAACATCTCAATCAGATCCCCTACAACTTTTCCTTTTCAAGAGAAAATTTCAATAATTTTATCCTGTCCTAGTATTATAAAATTTTCATCCTAGTTGCTTTCCACATGAATATCACCTTGCATTCCAACATGTCAGAGTCTGAGTCAGACTGATATTGTCAATTCACAGGCATATCTTGAATACAAATACTTTTGTAACACATCTGTTGCTTTGTGTGACACTTTTACATTGAATGTAAATACACACAATAAGTTTAGCATTATGGTCAATATTCTTTTTCCAATACGGAGACTATCCAAGAAGTCGGGCAAAGACCCTGACCACCCGACAGAATATATAGGGTGCATAAACCAGATAAAACATAAGAGTACAGAATTCAGAAACTCGACCTTTGTAGACATAATGAAGGTAACATCTGTATGATGGGGAAAAAAAAAAAGAGATCAGAAGGTAAGAATCCGAGACATCTTTCTTTGTCATCCAAAGACCTAGGTTAAATGCCCACCAAAAAGTGAGGAAGGACTCCATGGGGAAATGAGGAAGGTTGATGAAATGGTTGACACTGGAAAAATCTATGACTGAGCATCAGTCCCGGTCTTCTTAGGAACTAAGAACAATCGAGAATAGAACCCTGGAGAAGGAAAATCCTCCAGATAACATTTAAAGCACCCAATGATCCAAAGTGAAATTGCTTATTAGGTGCACGAACATGCTCCGACTATGCCAGAATATTCTGTATAGTCACTGGCAGCAGGAGACCCAGAGCCAAGTAATTTCATGGCTAGCCAGTGAGACCAGGGAAAGGGAAACAGGCAAAACAGCAGAAGGAGGAGGTTGGGATACAGGAATAGGAAAATGGAAGTTTGCAAAGGATGAGAAACCAATGATGAAAAAGGAGGAATGTTGAGGAACAGCTTCCATCCTGGACTCCAATGAGTCAAGAAAATCTCCAAAGGCTGACAAGCATGAAAATAATGGAGCCATACAAAGGCCCTGCAAATACGACATGGGTAGGTGCACATGAGCTAAATGTGTGTGTCCCTACCCAGGAGATCAAAATAACATAGGAGTCAAGTTTGTAAGGCAATAGTCAAGAAAGACAAGTGCACCATTGTGGAATATATGAAGGAGCAAGTATCCTCCAATAAAAACCCTCAGGAAAGTGGTGGTGGAGGAGAAGTAATTTGGGAGGGTTGTGAGGATTCAATTGAGATGGGAAAATCTAACAGTGGTATCAACGACAGATCCCCACACCTGAATCAAATACCTTAAGTTCTGCAAGTCCAGAAAAGGAAAGTCCAATGATGAAATGCTAATGCATAGGAATCCGAGGTACAGTGGGGGGAAGCATGCCAACCCCAGAACTTAACTGTGCTGTAAACTGATCAGCATGTACCATGATGTCTGGAGAGGTTGAGAAAACTAAATAAATGAAGGAAGGGGTGGAATTAAGGAGGAAAGAAGAGGAATATTAACATACAGAGGATATAGACATAAGGTCACATACCTGTGACACTATATCCAGGAAATGTAGTCAGTCTGGGAGTGTCCACAGGTGGAATTTGGAAAGGTAGAGCAGAGGAAGGGGTGAAGAACAGGCTATCCAAGTCCTGTCATTCTGCTCGTGTTCACAAGGAAAAGGAATATCTAGTTTGGTATAATGATATACAGCAGGCTGCATAATTGACTCAAACCTGTGGCGTACAAAACTGATACCTCCTTAAAAGAAAATGTGGAGCCCAATTTGAGTAATGTGCATGCCTCAACTCAACTGAACAGCCATGAACTGCTAGAGGAGGGCACAATCTTGTGGTGTGCTCACCTCCACTTAACTGAATAGTTGCCAGTCACAGGAGGAGGGCAAAGGCCCCAAAACATTATAGGTTGAGGTGAAGTAACAGGAGTAACAACAGTAGTTGTTACAAATTAAAATTCAGAAATCAATCTATAGTATTTAGCAGTGCTCCAGATAATTTTTTTCTGTAAGGAGTAATCACTCTCAAAATTCTGTCAGCAGGAGTAATTAAATTTTTTGCAATGTGCAGCAGTAACATTTTGTGATAAAAGTCATTTAACTAATTATGAATTATTTTATTATCAAAGATGAATTTTGGCACATTTAGCAAATTAAATCACCAGATGTAGTCATAATAAACAAATAATATTACAATTTTTATTTTTATTTTTTTAACACAGAGTTTGATCATTAGCTAGTGCACCAGCAGAAATTTCCAGCAGTTAGAATGGGCTTATTTTTGCAGCTCTACTGCGTGAACTGTTCAGATCTTGTGCAGAACTGCAGAAAACTACAAGAATGCACCAATTAATTACTGTACTACCATTAAAGCAGCAGGAGCCATATATCTTTTTCCACAGCAGTAAAACAACTTCTCAATATATTTTTAAGGCCATAAGTGGTCGATTTAAGTTTGGGAATTACACTGGTATGCCCATTATCTGGAGAACTGGCATTTATTTTCACTTTAAACAAAAAACTAATAAAACTATAAACAATAAAGCTAGTTTAACAAATTGTGAAAAAAAATCAAAACAAACAAGACTAAAAATTAGATATGTCTGTACTCTTCTATGTTGGGTTCTCAGTATAGAGGGAGCCAGCTGTACCAGTAGGGTGTGTTGCATTATTATTTGTGAAGGATTTTCGCATGTTTATTTGCATGTTACAGTTCAGCTGTAAACATAAGGGTAGTGGGAGTATCAAGACAAGTGACGAGCAAAACTGCACATATAGAGGGCAGCACTGAAAGAGAGAAGCTATTATGTGAGATGAGGTAAGGTATCACATCAGAAAATTATTTATAGATGTAGGGGATAAGTTCTACCAAAAAAAGTGGCTGGATGAATGAAAACAGATGGTTGATATAAATGAAGTTCAGTCAAATTTCATTTCTTGTCACAATTCAGGTACCTCAGGGCTCAGTGTTAAGACTTTTGCTCTTTATAATTCACACCCATGACACAGATAAAGGAATGGTTAATCAATTGCTTATATTTGCTGATGATATTAAGATCTTGGATGTTACTGCTTGTGGGAAGGATACTGCTGCTTTATATATGGATTTAGATGATTTGGCAAGTTAAGGAAATAAATGACATAATATAATATATAACTATAATAAATACAAGGTAATGTATGCGAGTTACTATAATTCAAGTCATAAATGTAATTCTGATGGGAATAGCCTTAACAAAGTTATGGAAGCACAGGATCTTAATTTTCTGGTTTGTCAGTCCTTTTAAACCATCTTGGCAACATGCTGTTGCCAGTAATTGGACAAATAAGATTTTAGGTTTTATTTAAAGAAATACTAAATCAAAGTCTAAATATGATATAATTTCATTTTATAGATCATAAGATAGGCCTCATTTGGAGTAATGTGTTCAGGTACTGGGCTCCTTACCTTAAGAAGAGCATTGAATTGTTAAGAAAGGGTTAAAAGAGGATACTAAGAGTAAATAGTATGTGGGTTGGACTATAGATCCATTAAAAATGACATCCTTGTCTATTAAATATAAAAATTAATCAATATAATTAAAATGATCTGTTTATATTAAAGTTAAAATGGCGAGGATAATTGTAAAAATGTGTATTCTTTAACTTTCAGTTGTAACTTGTATTTAAAAAAGTAGATAATGAATACAAAGTGCAGTCATGTGCACCCCCTTTGAGTTTGACTAAAAAAAATAGACTAATTCATTATACTATGTACCAATACTACATATAACGAGATATGCACTAAATAAATCTACTGTTAGTATTAATCCCTAATAGTTCATAATTTATCTGTTCGCACAGTAAACATATTGTACTCTGTAATAAATATTTCACAGTAATCATTCTGAAAGTTAAAATTAATCTGCCCACACAGTGATCATGTCAATAATTAAAATTTTAAACAGTGCATATAGCAACCATTATGATACTTGATAGACTATCAATCTCTCGTGGATTAGTAATTCACTCTTATTGTGTAATGTTATGCTAGACTTAATCATGTACTGTGTACTGGGCAATGCAGTTTAGATTTATTCATTTAACATTATATCTTATTTCTTTTTTTAACCATTATTCAGTTATTCACATACCTGCTTCATGCCGCACCATTGGTTCTTGACTTTTGTCTTTCAACACTTCAGTCAAAACTGGAATAGATATCGGATCTTGCATCTGACCTAAACAGTATGCACACTCGTGCTTAAGCAGTGCCGATGGATCACTGAAGCAATTTGCAATACATTCAATGGCAATCTTCCCTCCAAGATTTCTTAAAGTAAACAGAGCACGAAAGCGTTCTTTTAATGGTCTTTCGTGGTTATTCAGTACATTACCAATAGCCTGGATAGCTCTTTCATCCACGTGAAGATTCATAATTAGTCTATCTGTTTTAACTTTATTATGTATATAAATTTGATTGTATTATTCAAACTTTCCACAAAAACTACGCAAAGACAACAGAACAAAACATATGCTTAATCATACAGCGCACTGCTAACTTAACATGGTTATTCACAACCTTTTACCCAAACTGCCACATACGCCTTCTACAGCACTTGTAATAAAACTTACAGTACTTTAGAACTATTCTTACCGTGTCAATTATAGATTGCAAGAAAAATAAGATAACTAAATTTGTCTTTAAAGAAATAATTCGAAAACATAGAAAAAAAAAAATCTTGAAAATATTCACCTGTCTTACACAAAAACAAATAATTTACAAAAAATATAAGAATTGGTGCACGCACGTAATTATGCTTATATGGTTACAGCGCGGCTGTTTATGGTATTTAAAGTTTTCTGTATAGTTTACATTCTTCTAATGAAGCATTAGCATTTTTGGGGTTTTAAACAATTGTATGCAATGGTTTCTGTTGACACTTTCTACTTGGAAGTCCAAAGCCGTATTGCGACTGTCAGGTTTTGTAGGCCGGATTTTTTACAATAGGTGTCTATGACTTGCTGGTGATAAATTTCAACAATAAACAAACAGCAACACAATTCACTTATTTTAAAATAACATATTCAAACAAGTCAAACGTATATACAAATGTTCGTTGCACTGTTGCTTATCATGGTTGTATCCAGAACTTTAGATAATTGTATCTTTTGCGTCAGTCCACTCAGGCTGATCCAATTACTTTGGAGCAAAACTGAAAAGACGAATTATTCTTCGATGCTCTGTTATAGCAATAGAGTCAGTGATAATTTCACTTTAAGAATCGCCAGTGTACGCTCTTTATCACTAAGCTCACACTTATGCAATCTGGATCTAAATAATAATCTTTCGATGCATATTTATATCTCAATAGAAGTTTAGAACATTACACGCATACTAGATATTCTGATGCAACATAACTCAATTAAAACAACGAGAAATATTCAGAAAGTTCTACTAGCATGACACAGCAATATAAAATCGCTAACTCGTACCAATTGCATGTACACGTTACACAATGCATGATTTGGAAACAATTACATAAACAAACTTGCCATAAACTCTCGCTTCTGAAAATAACTACATATGAAACCCAAACTATATAAACTATGCAAATCATAGTACTGGCATCAAACTTAAACTGAAATAGTGGTGTCTATTTAACAGCTACACGTGGTTTTGAGCACAAGCAAGCTTCGTTGCATCACAGAAATAGAACTATAAAGTGATTGTTGGTTTGAGATTTAATTTCATAAAGGAAAGAGCTGAGAATTGTACTAATCTTCAACCCATTTGAAAATTTCCTGTTATATGAGTAAGAGACTGGCTTGAAAGACTACACAGTATAAGAAATATAATCTACACCTACAACACTTCTTACTGACCAAAATGAAACACCTACATGAAACTGATTGGAGCAATATTTGAATGTTTTTTGCCAGCAAAAGAAAAGGATTGGTACATAATGACCAAGGTATTGTACTATGTAATTTTTCTGCTTTAGTAGCTAATATAGCCTTTGACATGCAGTTAGAATAGTTACCTGTGTTACAAAGTTTGTTCAATTCACGAATGTCTATACATGATATTATAATTCCTCTATATATAGATGAGTACATCAACAATCTTTACTATGGAATTTATGTATCATATAAACTACAATATTATGTTAAAGCTATATACCGATCGCCTCTTTAAAAGTAGTATATATTTTTGTTTTCAGACACTGTTAATGACACAACCCGGTCACTATCTCAATCTTTCTCTGGTGCTGGTAATGAATGTAAAACTTGAAGTTGACACTATTGCGCTATATTCTTATAGTGATGACACTGATAATATGCAAACTGGTTTACTTGAGCCTCAAACTACTTCAAATATTGACAACTCCATTCTTCCTGGACCGTCATCATCATCACACTATACTACAGTAGTCATGGATTCATCAGAGATTTGTCATGATATTTTATGAATTAACACTGGCAATTTTTTGCCACCAACAAAATCACTTGATGAAAAATGTCAAGCTATTAGTAACCTATCAAATTCTGAAAAGTATTCTTATCTTTATAAACCTGTGGCACCACCAAACGTTTTTCCTACCACCTTTTTTCATGCGTGTAACTGCAACTTTAAAATAGAATTTTAACTAATGTTGGATTGCCTCTAAATGAATTCCATGGTCAAGGATATGATGGAGCACCCACCATGACTGGCGAAAATTCTGGTACCGAAAAACAAATTTGAGATATGCAAAGCAAAGCACTGTACACTCATTGTTTTGGTCACTCACTTAATCTTGCTATTATAAATTCATGTTCAGTTCCACCAATACAAAATTATATCCATCAAGTTAAAGAAATAACTATTTGGATTAAATTCTCACCTAAACGTGGGAAAATATTAAAGGCAATCTATCAAAAAGGCATCCAGCATGGAGCAGCTTTATCACATCTTTTGCTACTCTACTACTATTACATTACTACACAGTGGCTTGAGAATATTGAAGGTAGGGAAAAGTTCTGTTTATGTCACCCATTCTTACTTCACATGTGTGAAGTTATTATGTATAGAGATGATAATTTTGAAATGTTTGATAAAAATAGGACTGTTGAAGATAAGAAAAATACAATGGCTTATAGCTATATCCAACATGGATGGATCACTGGCAAATACAAAACAAGGCACAGCTGCTAAGAGACATAGAAAACTTGGCTTCTTCTTCAGTGGACCAGCAGACATTTCTCTCAGATCTCACACTCGAGAAAAAATCTAATACAGCTGTGTTTCTGGATTACATGGCATGTCTTCATAAGTTATCCTCATACACAATAGTCAAGACAGTTTTTGACCTACTTGATGGACTAGAAGTAGTTACAAAAATGCTTATTAGAACTGGTTAAGAAAGGTTCCTTTCCACGTGATATTTATGACTGGATTAGGCCTGCAGGCTCACAACGTCCCCGCATGTATGGCCTTCCTAAAACGCACAAAAAGGATGTACCACTCCGCCCGATTTTGTCGATGATTGGCTCTGCACAACATGAATTAGCTTTCGGAAATTTTAGAACAGGTGTTAACGTACTTTTCGGAAAACTGTATTCAAGCATCCTTTTCTTTTGCTACAACCATACAGAACCTTAGCCTTGATCCTAAACAATCGTTTTTGTGCTCCTTTGACATCAGCAGCCTGTTTACTAATGTACCCCTGGAAGAAACCATCAAAATTTGTGCAGATACTTTGTATGATGAATAAGTTCAGTGACCTCCAATACCTAAGGACCTGTTTATTGAACTGATGAATACTGT